CACTTTGTAACTGAAGTACTTCATCCTTGATGTTCATCTCCCGGACCTCTCCTCTTAAACTAGCAACTTCATCTTTTAGAGCAGATACGACTAGAGTTAAGTCTTTAATAGCATTTCGACTTGAAATAGATTCTAACTCACCGGTTATTGGAAGCTGGGTTTACCCTGTAGCAAGGCCCGGATTACTCTCGACATCTCCGGCCATTATTAGAAGTACATTTGCAACGAACAAGAGTGATATCGTCATATTTAGATATAAACCTTGAGTTCGAAATTTCCTGGCTGCTATCCTATGAGTATAACATCCAATGTGTGCCCAACAAGCATCCAAATCGCAAATCATTTTACGAATTAATGTTTTATAATATAACACAATGAAAAAAAGTACACAAAATTATCCTTGTTATTAAATAGTGATCAGTCAAGCGAGGAGAGCACCTCTATAACACGTCTTCACACCTCGCGTCTACTACTGATTTTTATATTTTCATGTAATTTTATTTTTATATTTGTTAATAGTTTTAAATTTAACAATTGACATTACACAATTTACTATACTGTGTAATTAATAAACCTCAAAGTTCAAACGATTTCCCTTTGTTTCATACTTGTTATATTTCTAGTTGCATTCCGTCACGTTACCAGTCACATTCTGAAATCAGTACACGCTTGAGCACGAGCTCTTCTATCAGTCTGCTCACATACGTCGAATATCTAACCTTGTCTCTCTGCTAATTTAATTTTTGTCTCCCATTTTCTATTTCATACAACAAATACCACAGTATATATATATATATATATATATATATTATTCCCCCCTCCCTCTCTTCTCTTCAACCTCTACTGTATCTCGTCTTTACGGCTTTCTTATCTTGTCCCATTTGCACAACATCCACACAAGCAGTTTTCCCCCTCCCCACCACTACTGGCTTCCACCGACCATCACCAGGATTCCACCAACCACCACCTGCATTCCGCTACCAGCACCAACCAAGTCGACAACCATACCAGTACCTACCAAGTCGACAACCAAAACAGCTCCAACCAAGTCCAGTCAGGAGAATGGAACACCAACCAGAAGTTGACAAGGATTCATATTTCTTCAGGGGATCCCAAGGTACAGTTTGACATCTGTGTGTTCAATGTACCATGTGCATGAACTATGCAACTCTGACCTACTCAGAAGTGTATTAATCACCAACATTTACTACTAAGAGGGAATGATGTTGCCCCAGGGAGTTCCCAAGAAACAGTGTGGTACCTACATTGTGCTCATATGTACTGAGATATGGTGGATTTGGCGTGGCTGACCAATGATGACCGTTGACCTGCTCAGAAACGAGTTAATTCCCCAAATTGACTATTCAGAAGGGTTCATATTGGCCTTGGGTGTCTTAAGCAACGGTTCGATGCCCATTTTGTGCTTGTAGTGAGATGTGTATTTGAGGTAGATTGGGCGTGGCCGACCAATGTTACCCTTGGCATGCTTAGAACTAGTTTAATCCCCAAAACTGACTGCTCAGAAGGATTGATATTGTAATTGGGGGGCCTAATTGCCTATTCTAGAAAATGACTTACTAAATGGACCAAAGCAATTTTTTGTGAACTGTATGTTGACACACTAGTGATTAATTCATCACAATTCCAATTACGAGAGGGTTTAGGGTCTGTACACGGTCTATATCTATACGGTACATCAGTATCTGGTGTGTCCACCGCGAGTGTCAATAACAGCAGCGCGGCGTCTGTACATGGAGTGGGCCAAACGATTGATGAACGCCATTGGCACCTGGAACCACACTCTCAGAAAAGCCTGGCGCAATCCATCGGCTGTGTTTGGTCTCGGTACGACTTTATAAATTCTCCTCTGAATTTCATCCCATAGATGTTCAATTGGGTTTAAATCCGGACTAAGGGCTGGCCAGTGCATAACGATGACACCGTTCTGCTGTAGAAAGTCCCGAGTAACTCTGGCGGTGTGGGCACGGGCATTGTAATGCTGGAAAACGTTGTTTCGATGACGTGGGAAATGTGGTTTGACGTGGGGTCTGAGAGCTTGAATGATGTAGCGCACTACTGTGATGCCGCCGCCTCTCCCTGGACCAAGATTTTGGAACACCACAGGACCCACTCTCTGGTTCAGGCCGATTCCACCCCAAACCACTATGCTTGGACCTCCCTATGAGTCTCGCTCCATGACACATTAGTAAGAATAACGCTGGTCACGTTAACACTATATTCTGGTCCTGCCATCTGCAGTTGATACGCAATACTGACTCTCATCTGTAATCAGAACATTTCTCCATTGCCTGTGTCGCCAGTTCTGGTGTTGTTAAGCAAATTGTAGACGTTCACGTCGATGGCGAGGGGTGAGGATCGTTCCATGGTAAGGTCTACGGCAATGGATGTTCTCTCTGGTGAGACGTCGGCGCACTGTATCGGTACTGATGGGTCTTCCGTGTGTTCACACTGTCTGACGTACTGTCTCATATGCCCGTGTGAAGGGATTCTGCACGTGCTGTCGCACAACATGGTGGTTTTGTTGCCTTGCGGTAATCCTTGGTCTACTATATAGTTCGGGGGCGATCATCCGTGGTGTTGGTGACCCGAAAGCGTTGCTGAAGCCTGTAGATAGTCCGAACATTGACCTGGAAGTGATTGGCAACGGCTTGGGCAGTGTGGCCAGCGTCGAGTCTTCCAGGCGCCTGGTTCCTCTCAGCTTTCGTGAGTCGTGGCATGCTGCTGACATTGTAGTGTGAATGATTCAACCAGGTATGTATTTTATAGGGCTGGTCCCGGTGAACAGCACGTGCAGCATAAATTACATGAAAATCACGGAGAACAAATTACCATCTCAGAAGTCAGGTTGCGTTTTTGAGCGGCAATACTATATACCGGAAAACACCGGAAAACAACCGGACAACACTGGAAAACAACCGGAAAACACCATTTTATACTGAATATCTGAAAACACCGGAAACACACTAAATATCGGAAAACACACTAGATACTAGGAATATTCGGGAACTAATTGGTGAAAAGATCAAAGCTATAGTCACTTGACCACAGATACGTCTGAATGAACTTGATTTTGACCACATTATAGTAGTCGAAAAATCTTTCACCGTCAGTCAAAAATCCCCCCTTCAAGAGCCTTTTTTACATCACGTCATTCAGTCAGCAGACGCCTGTCTTTCGAGACGGTCTACAATTTCTCATTTGCTTCATTCTATTCAGTATTGTTTGTTTTTTGCTCTGTTTTTTGTGATGGGTGGAACATGTGCCCTAACTGTATTCAATATGCCTCGATTCTATTGAATACTAAAACGTTTCTTAAAAATACATTATGCAAGAGCGAAATCTGCCTATTGAAGGTATTGTTTGTTTTTTGCTCTGTTTTTGTGATGGGTGGAACATGTGCCCTAACTGTATTCAATATGCCTCGATTCTATTGAATACTAAAACGTTTCTTAAAAATACATTATGCAAGAGCGAAATCTGCCTATTGCAGGTCTTTCTTTAGGCCTGAAATGTTATCTAAATTATTAATTTAGCATTAATTAACTTATCCAGACCATAATCAACTCTCGATGTCATCTTTAGCCTGCGATGTTTATTGGATTAGGTTCCGATATGCTGTTCGACTTCCTTTCATAATTTAATCATGAAATGGATAATCGAGACTAGGTTTTTTTATCGTACCGACTTTAGTAATGATGATCGAGACTAGGCCGAAAATTTAATCGCTAAAATCTCAGTTCAGAGTGGATCAATTTGACTGAAATTTTCAGCAAATTCCCTTTACATTATCTAGTTTTTAACTATTATAGTGATAACTGCCAGCTATTTATATCATTAATTTAACTTAGAACATTTAGTTTTAGACTACCTGGTTTTTTTTATACATTTCACCGATGTGGTTACTTGTACAGTTAGATTTTACTTCAATATGCTTACATTCATATGGTTTCTCTGGGTTATATTCCTGATTGCTTTCAAATATGTGTGAAGTCTGTGTCACTATAGGCCCGGGACTGTACATCGCAGTGGACGCTTACGGCTAGCCCCCGGACGCATTCACTTTTTTTGAATTGTTCGTTTGTTTGTGATTTTCTGCGTATTGTGTCTTGTCCATATATTTGTTTTTTTGTGTAAAATATGTGTGGTGTAGTCCCTCTGCACTTACTATTAAGTATGAACAATCGCATTAAACGATCTTACCAGGAAATGTTACGTTCATCTGAAAAATATCAGTTGGGAAAGAGATTATCTAAATCGTGAAGCAAATTGTACATTTGTTCATTCATTAATCCTGTCCCGATTAGACTATAGGTAAAAGCCTTCTTTGTGTGTCCAAATATTCCATCTTTACAAAAGATACAAAACACTACCACACGGTATGCTCCACATACATATCATGTATCACCAATATTAAACTTTTTATATTGGCTGCGTATATAGAAAATGATTGCTTTGAATATATTATCACTGTCTTACCAAGGTGTCTTAACCTAACACTCCCTTATCTAAACTAACTAATTCAAAGTTATGAGCCTTCATCCCAAGGTGGAAAATGAAAACATTTGGTATAAGAGTTTTTAGCTTCAATATGCATGAAAAGTGCTTCTTCCAATGAGTGCTATGAATCCAGACTAAAACATACACATTTAAACTGTATATTTCAAGTGTGTAACAAGGGCATCTGCAGATGATCTATATTATCGAAAATTTGAAGCTTAATTTCCAACAAATAAAAACGTTTTACAAAATATGTCAAAATTAAAATGTTAAGTTAAAAAGTAAAACGACAACATTTCAAAAAGACAAAACCTGAAAACGCAAAGATTTTGATCCTGCAAACGATGACATTTTGCAAATCGAACGATGAAACTTCAACTTATAGAGAAGAGTTCGCAAAGTTTTGCTATGAGTGCACTTTTGGAATTAGCTTTAATGACAAGTCATCACTCACTTTTATTTTAACCCCGTCGAGTTCAGAGCAATACAAAAAATAACTGTAACTGCGATACAGTGATGGCGGATTTCACCTGTGTCCTTTACCCAATAACTGGCGCCACTTCCCGTACCAATGAAACCGTTTTCCATCAACCGTTTAATGATGGCACTATTAGATTAATTGCATTAGGCATCAAATGGTGAAAAATTTATTGAAATCGAAACATCAATAATTTTGTTATTGACAAAACGTATAAAGTTACTCCCCTGAATAATTGATCATTTATCGGCAGTGACTCAAGTTAAAAATACAGCTTTTGCCAATATTACGTCACTTCCGATGACAATGAAGATCTGTAATTGATTTGTCCTTCAGTTTCCCAAGATTTTTACATATTTCCTTTGGCCACAATATGTCTTCTCAAACACGATGTAGCGATGCCTGTTGAGTGGCCTTTCCACCACAAATTTTGTTTTTATGTTAGTGATTCTGACTTAAGTGTTATCTATCAATCAATTGTAATATTGTAATGTTAGTTTCACTGATGCACCTTTTATGCTGAATAAATCACTAATAAGTTCTAAATGAACTTGTTCTTAAATGACCTTTCCTGTTATATTTTCTAATTCAGGCCACATTCCTGTATCAAATGGCATTGAAGTGGAACTTGCACTTTCCCTGTTGGATAAAACAATTTGATTAATTATTTTTTATTTTCTTATTTTTTTTTTTTGGGGGGGGGGGGGGGCGTACTGTGGATGGCGCTCGCTTACCACACCCATCTCTGGCGCAACTTATGAATTGGGTTTCTGGGGTCTCCTAACCCAGTCATACGCCACTAGTATCCATCCCAAACCATTTTGAACAAAACTCGCCTAGCTCCCGGACTATGAATATTATCAGAAATGAAATGAAATGGGGTTTAATGTCCTACTGTTTTGCTTCGAAGGATATTATCAGTAGTCATCATGATTACGGTTAAAAATTAATGCAAATCTAACAATAATTACCAATTTTACGGGCATCAGAAACACGGTAAGGAACTCATGTAAAATTGCATATTTCTCGGAAATGGCTGAAATTAGAAACTAATTTTTGACTTAATTGTAATCGTATTCTTGTTTATTGATATTACGAATATATATTTTGGTTTAAACAGTATTTTATTGAGGAGAAAATTTAAGAGAATATAAGTGAATAGGATGCATTAACAAGCTAAACTGCTTATATAAAACTGTTTCCATAATTATGATCATTACATATATGACGACTTTAAGGATATAGCTCTGTAAGGTGTTGTGTGATTTAAACCAAAGGTGTGGATAAAATATGTAAGTTTAAAGTTTGAAGTACGGAAGACGAAAATGATTATTTTAGAGGTGTAACATACTCATTACATTTCGTAATTCCAACTTTGAATCGATCATCAGATACCAATGTCCGGAAGGTCTATGTTTAATATATGGCGTGTTTGAAGCCTTATTAATAAACACACATTTTTTAGTGATTTGTTATATTAGTAATATCATATTCCTCAGTACGTGTAAATTGAATTGGATACAAGTATATCACGGTTATTTAAAACGTCGATTGTGATTTGTCTTTGGGTTAAGTACAGAGGACTCTTGAAAAAATAGTGGTCGCAATTTTCAAATATTTTCCCACAAAAGCATTAAGGGTCATTTTACAATGAATGATTTGCCAGTTTCTTTTGCCAAAGTAGAAGTATTCTTTAGGTTTTAATTGATAGATTGGAGATATTTTTTTAATTCTGAGAGTGTTGTAGATTCTTTAATGCCCGGGGTTGAATAATTCCAGTCTTGTATGGCTGATGGAAAGAAAGCGTTTTGATAATGACTTGTTCTGCATGGAATTTGTTTTATGTTTTCTGAATTTCGAAGATTATAAGAAGTATATGAGGCAACAAGAGGCGGTATAATGTCAGATAGATAGCTGGGCACTAGTTTATGTAGTATTTTGTAAAAAAAAAAGTATCATTTTATGTATCGAACGGCGTTGATTCGGCGCGCAAAAGCCCGTTTTGTTATATATGATATCATTTGATGTACCTCGTGGTAATCCTGTTATAGTTCGGAGGGCATCGAAATGCAGTTTTGCTAATAAGTCAGGGTCATATTTCGTACAGTTTATCCAAACGCAATCACAATAATCAAAAATTGGTAAAACGAAGGACTTGTAAATACTCCTCAGTGTTTTCCTGTTTAATCGATATTTAAAAGAGCGCATACAATTAATCAAGTTACTGGTTCTTGTTACGAGGTAATCAATATCAGTTTCCCACGTACACTTATTATTAAGGAATATGCCCAAATGTTTATGTGACAGATGGTCCGATATTTCCGATGTGTTAAATGTGAGCTTAAAGTTTGACGGAGACATTTTCCGGGAGAATGTAAGACTAATAGTTTTGGCTGGGTAAAATTTAATATTCCAGGCTTTCGACCATTCGTAGATTTTCTGTATCTCTTTATTCAAAGTATAATAATATTGTGCCAGTTTAGGATTATCAATAATTGGAAATATAGATGTATCGTCTGCGAATAGGCGTATGTTAGAATCAATATTATCAACTATGTCGTTGATAAAGATTAAAAACAACAAAGGACCTAGAATAGAGCCTTGAGGAACTCCTACATTGTTTACTTTCAGGAAAGAACTAACACTGTTTATTACTACTCTTTGTTCTCGTTTTGATAGATAATTTTCCAAAGGTTTTAATTCTTTATTTCTGATTCCAATTGATTTTAATTTATGAAATAGTCCAGTGTGCCAGACGCGATCGAAAGCTTTACTAATGTCAAAAAATATTGATTTTACTTCGCTACCATTGTCTAAGGCCTTACATGATCGTATATTTCTAACAAGTGGTAAGAAGCGGAGTTATTTTGCTTTCCACTTATTGTGAAATTATAGATATTTTTAAATATGATTTTTTCTAAAATTTTGCCCAGTGTGTTAAATGAAATGAAATGTGGTTTTATGGCACGTCAGCTCCAACCGGGCTATATTGCGCCAAACATATGGTGATTTATGAGCGACAAGTTAAACAAATATCACAGAAAAAGTATTATATGCATAAATAAAAACAATATCACAGTAACTAAAATTAAAAATGAAATAAACCTGTTATGCATATTGATATTTAAAATACAAAAATGATGTGATAAATATAAAATTAAAATTTATGATAAAAACATGTCTCTTTTAAAAAGTCTAGTATGTTACAATATAAACCCAGTTGGCCAAATAGATGACGTAGAGACTGGCAAAGGTATTATTTCGATCTTATGTTCTTGAGATGATTGCACTCAATCAAGATGTGTTTTACTGTCAAAGGAACATGCCAGTGAACACATTCTGTTTGAGGCCCTCGCTTCAAAATGAAAATATAAGTTAAAAATGTATGACCAATGCGAGAGCGACACAAAACAACTTCATCCCTCCTGCTGGTTCTATAGGAGCTTGGCCAATCTCCTAAGAGAGGCTTGATGTGATGAAGTTTATTTGTGCCTGCAAGATCCCAAGACCGTTGCCAGCGGCCATAAATGAAATTATTTATAATAAATTTAAAATCTTTATATGGCGTTAAAAATTCAGATATGGGAAGATCTAAAGCCGACTTGGCAGCCGAGTCTGCTTGATCATTCCCTTTGATATTCATATGACTGGGGAGCCAGCAAAGGACAATGTCCTTGCTGATTAACTCGTTAGATAATAGCAGACTATAAATGTCTGCTATGAATGGGTGATAAAGCTGTTTATTGTTTAGTGCTTGTAGCGAGGACAAAGAATCAGTAAAAATTATATACTTTAAGTTAGATGATGATTGAATGAACTCCAAAGCCTGAAGAATGGCCTTGAGTTCAGCTGTAAAGATGGAAGCAGCAGGTGGAAGGCGGACAGATATGGTCTCAGATGGTGTCACGGTAGCCGAAGCTACCCGATCATCATCTTTCGAACCATCTGTGTAAATTGGAGCATAATCACCATATTTAGACCTTAGCTCTCGAAAGAGAGACTGAAAAACCGTGGAGCTAGTATCTCTCTTTTTATGTTGTATAAGATCGAAATCAATCTTTGGGGGAGATACAGCCCACGGTGGAGTCCTAAAGAAAGGGGTATTCGCAATACTGTCAAGGCCGATACCAGCCTCAAATAAAAGGGGTTGTATGCGAATACCGAATGGTGGAATAACTTTAGTCTTGAGCAGATATAAATGCTCATGATAGGGTCTAAATATGGTGTTAAATGAAATATGACCTGGCAAAGATGCTATTTTCGTAGCATACTGCAGGGCCAGTTCATCACGTCTGTTCCACAATGAGGGCTCGTGCGCCTCGACGTATAAACTGTCCACTGGAGATGTACGAAATGCTCCTAAACTGATTCTAAGTCCTTGGTTGTGTATGGTGTCAAGCTCTTTGAGATAAGACTCGCGGGCAGACCCATACACAATACACCCATAATCGAGTTTTGATCTTATTAAAGCTCGATATAATCGAAGCAAGACCTTATGGTCTGCTCCCCAGTCAGTATTTGATAAGACTCTCAATATGTTGAGGGCTTTCAGAAATTTCCTTTTGAGGCTTTTTATATGGGCGATAAATGATAATTTCTTATCAAATATCAGCTCCAGAAATTTGGTTTCATCCACAACTGTATAAACTGTCCACTGGAGATGTACGAAATGCTCCTAAACTGATTCTAAGTCCTTGGTTGTGTATGGTGTCAAGCTCTTTGAGATAAGACTCGCGGGCAGACCCATACACAATACACCCATAATCGAGTTTTGATCTTATTAAAGCTCGATATAATCGAAGCAAGACCTTATGGTCTGCTCCCCAGTCAGTATTTGATAAGACTCTCAATATGTTGAGGGCTTTCAGAAATTTCCTTTTGAGGCTTTTTATATGGGCGATAAATGATAATTTCTTATCAAATATCAGCTCCAGAAATTTGGTTTCATCCACAACTGTATAAACTGTCCACTGGAGATGTACGAAATGCTCCTAAACTGATTCTAAGTCCTTGGTTGTGTATGGTGTCAAGCTCTTTGAGATAAGACTCGCGGGCAGACCCATACACAATACACCCATAATCGAGTTTTGGTCTTATTAAAGCTCGATATAATCGAAGCAAGACCTTACGCTGGGATTGTATCAATTTTAATAGCAAAAAGAGTAGGAGATAATATACTTCCCTGAGGAACCCCAGAGAATATTGATCCCAGTCGTACCTTAAATTACCTATTTTCCAAGAAATTTTTAATAAAGATAGGTAAGCGACCTCGTAGGCCGAGGTTATGGAGGTCGCGCATGATACCATGTAGTATATTGAGCTTTCTCCAGATCAAAAAATATTGCAACTAAATGTTGCTTCCTGATGAAAGCGTCCCTGACGAACGTTTCAAATCGAACGAGATGATCAAGAGTGCTCCTTTGGGACCGAAATCCACATTGGAGGACAGTAATGAGGTTGTTGGACTCTGGGTACCAAACAAGCCTTCGATTCACCAATCTCTCCATGGTTTTGCACATACAGCTAGTTAAAGCGATCGGACGATAGTTGGTAGGATTCGTATGATCTTTACGCGGTTTAGGGATGGGAATTATTGTGGCTTCATGCCATGAAGGAGGGAAATTCCCATCAACCCAAAT